TATTTGTGTTATCTATTGTAGGCCAGAGAGCTGCCACATTTGCCAACTTTAGATATTACAGAAGCCATGTTTTTTTTTCTGTTGCCCACTTTTTACTAATATTTTTGAGTTTTTTGCTTATTTCCATCATGAATTCCTAGACACTGTAAGGGATACATCAGCTAGCAACAACTTTCAGGAAGTTAGAAAGAGTACTATTAGAGTAAAAAGTAGTGAATTTAGTTATAATGAGTCTATTCTGTTGAGCAACAAATTTCAGCCCCTGGCTTCTGCAGATGAGGAACTATTGGAGGGAAGGAAAACAAAAGGGTCAGAGAAGGATGTGGATGATTAGGAGGTTATAGTTATAGGTGATTCCTTGATAAGGCATGTGGATAGAAGTTTGTGGGATAAATAGGGAGAAAAGAATCCAATTATGCTACCCAGGGGCACAAGTGGAGGATATAACTGACAGAGCAGGAGATATAATAAAGGGAGTTAGAAGAGATACAGTTTTTGTGGTGCATGTAGGGTCTAGTGGTGTAGGGAAAGGTAGGTCAGAGGAGCTAATTAATAAGTACAAGAGGTTGATAAAGCATTTAAAAAAAAAAAAGGCCATAACTTAATTTTGTCAGGGATACTGCTCAGAATTAACTGTGAGGATGGAGTTATAACTAGGTCACTAGGACTAAATGCTAGGCTTAGGTTAGTATGGTTTGTTTGCTAAGGCTATTAATTCAACTGTAAGGGGAGTTTTAAACTATGACTAGACAGTGGTGAGGGCCAGGAAAAAACTAAATGCAAAAAGAATAAGAGGCAGAGAAATGTTTAGCATTGGAAATGAGTATACATGTAGTTATAAGGGGAGGCTTAAATGTTACTATTGTAATGCTAGAAGTATAAGAAATAAAATAGACGACTTTAGAGCATTGGTAGGTATGGAAGATTTTGATATAATGGGAATAGCTGAAACATGGTTAAATGTACATGATTTTGATGACAGAAATTTCTTTGAAATGCAGGGTTACAGGCTATTTAATAGGGATAGAGTATTAAAGAGGGGGGGATGAGAGGCTTTATATGTAAAATGTGAGTAACATCCTGTTGA